CACTGCACTCCGGGAAGTAGACAACCCTGCAACTGTGCCCTTTGATACAGGAAGTAGAAGCTCGGGGCCATTTTTATAATGTACCTTAATTCTATTCGTCCGACCGCAATGGTGCCAGGCAATTAAAAATGTGACGAATTTGGGGTTCCAAAACACCCTACCTGCTGACACCCGAATACCCCAGGCGGCAATTGCCTTTCCGCAATACTGATAGCAGAGACCCACCACCAGGCCCTACTAGACCTACAGCCTAGCTCCATCCGAGCTTTTGATTTTTTTAGAAGAGCCTTCCTCTACCAGGCCACTTCCTCGTTGACCTGTCCCATCCAGAAACCACTTTCAGTTTAAACCACAGCCTCTAAACTCACCACAGCCAATCAGGGATCTGACTGTTCCTATAGAAGCAGAGAACACAGTAAGTTAGTTCTTTGATTCAGGAAGACCTCTCAGTGACAAGAGAAGACCACAAAACGGGGCCTCGGATGTGGACTGGAATTCTTCTTCTCTCAGGATTCCGATGATGGTAAGACTCTAGCTCATCTCTGTCGTTTGCCAGCAGGGTCAGCAGAACCCACCCCACGAAACACTGTCCAGACTGGACCCACAACCGAGCTTCAACGGAGCCCTCAGTTCCTCAGCAAGAGCCTTCTTCTCTAGCCAGTCCAGTTCTCCTTCTCGACGGTCAGGTAGCTCGACGCCGTCCAGAGAAAGCCTCGCCCTCAATGGACGTCCCACTAGAGCCTCTGATAGAGTTTGGTTGCAGCAGGGGAAATGTCTCTTCCCCCCTGGATCCTGCATGTGGCGGTATCCCAAGGCGGCACTGTTCACCATACCCCTCTCTCAGTGTCACGTAGGCCTCGGCACGGTAGTTCACACCTTACTTTAAGGCACCACCGCTTTTAGTGAGCTCGGCGCGCCTGCCGTGTTCGAGGACCGCTGCTGGAAGTGCTTGGGGTGCAGTTCAGTTACCAAATTTTAGATGGTCCTACCGCCTCCGTTTTCAGGGCAGAACACTCAAACGTAGGCATGTTAGGGTCATAACGAGAGACGTGAACATGATGCATGGCAGTTGAAGACAATCTCATGATTATTTTTCTCGATACATTAGTTTATTTAATGATGTTATCTCAGATGCGTAAATTATAACCTATGGCTTAGAAAAAACGAGTGAAGGACGTAGATGCAACTGGTCATCGGCTATTATGGTACTACCCCAGCGGCGGGAATGAAGAATTTTGGTTGTAGTATTGTGACAGGCTCCCAGTTACGAACAAAATAGGCCTATATTCAGAGTACAACTTTCCGCAGAACTAACATGCAAACCTTTTGTTTTCGGAACATAATATTATCAGTGTCTAATGTAATCTGCCTAGTAATTACCAATGAGAGCAAAGACATTAGGCTCTAACCCACGAAAGAAGCCAAGATTCTGATGGACTGCAAGTTTTCGCGACTGTTCAATATCAATGCCGATTCTCAGTTCGGAAGATGACACCTTTAACATTGGGTTCTACTGCTTATATTTCCTGACGTTTCGGTGCTTGGAAGATGAAAGCAGGATGGATCCCCGAAATGCTGACAATACAGCCCACATCTACATAAAGAAAATGTTTATATACCTCTCTTTTAGACGAAAATTTTATTTCAAAGACTTCATTTAAGACATTTTATTTACTGCCATATTTATGGTTTCATAAAGGTCGCAATATTCATTATTAATGAAGGAACACAGTAGAAGAAAAGAGTTGGACGAAATGCATTTCCTCAGAGGATACTAAACGTAACTGAGCCATTGAAGATCCATGGAAATAACCATAATAACCTATAAACCGATATGGAAAGTGTATTTGAAACGGATGCCTGAAAAACGAATAGCAAAATATGATGTTCGATAGGAAGATAGGAGGAATAACATTAATTCTTCAGCTGGAATATATTGAGAGCTTGTTCCGTAGTATTTTATTTTTCTTACTTATGACATTATATATTAACATATTTAAGTTAATAAAACATTATGAATTACGTGTAATTATGCATAATTTTGTGTAAAATAACTTACAGGGGATTAAGGGGATTATTTTAGTGTAAATCGGTCACAGAATTAAAGAGTTGAACATAATTCAATTCCTAAAATCAGACGGTAAATATGATCACAGAAGACATAGGTACGAATCAATTATATAAAAATGTGTATTTTTTAACCACACTTCTATGAGTTCTTCACTGAAATCGTTGAAAATTTTCCTCTACCACGTGAATCCTCTAGACGGAAAGTCTGGGATAAAAAGGGGGAAATATCTTTACCAGTCTTCTCTACATAATGAAATATTATTGAACACGCATTATTGGCCACCAATATATAATTATGTGGCACGGAGAAGTTTATTTAATAAACGAAAATTGTAACCTAAAGAATATATTGCCACAGTCAATAAGTTCGTGGAATGGTCGCAAAGCGTCGTACGGGAATTTCCTGCCAATATGTTTCAGAGCAATGTTTTCTTTAGCTATATCGACGTAACTGTCTTCTAAAAGAAGTTATTGAAGGAAAGATAGAGGGGCGGATAGAAGTGACAAGAAGACGAGGAAGAAGACGTAAGAAGATGCTGGATGACCTTGGGGACAGAAGAGGATATTCTCATTTGAAGGAGAAAGCTCTAGATCGCATCAAGTGGAGGAACTGTTTGGGAAGAGACTGTGGACCTGTCGTCTTGACAGTTTACAGATGAATGAATCGATGTTGGCAGACTTGCATAGCGGCCAAAGCCAACTATTTTGAGGGCCGATGTGGATCTGTGTAAGTGTAGGTGAATACCTTGTAATATGATGCGATAAAACCCCATTCCACGAACTTAATGACTCTACCACTTATAAACCCTTGGATATGTTTACCTTACAAAACTGTGAATGGTTATACCGGTGATGACATATCTGAAATCTGAATTTAACGTGATGTGTTTAGGCAGCACGGATTTTACAGAATATCAATATGTTAATCAATTTTAAGTGAAATAATATTATTTTATCATTATTCGTGAAATAAAACAAATTATTTCTTATAAAAACACTATTAATTTATAGCTTCCTAAAGACTAACCTCGATAACATAAAGCTCATCGTCATATAAACTTTAAAACAATCATGGTCATAAATTTAACACCAGCAAATACAATTGTTGAAATCTGTATTATTCTGTGTTTGGAGTTATCTCCATACTGCACGAGGCTATATTGCTTCTGTTACAGGTATGGCGCCACTTTGCTTCAAGGCGGTCGACCACACGCCTACAGGTGTCATCTTGTAAAGACAATATTGTCATCCCCCTATCTACTGAGGAGACGTGAAACATATTAAATATAAAATGCCAACAGATTCAGCTCATTTTATTCGTACTATTCGGGCGAAGAAGAGGCAATGATACATTCCGTGGTACCGAAGCGTATTTGCTTTTCGCTTATGTCTAGAGGACAAACGGTGAGTAACACGTGGCTGCAATCTTCCTTGAATATTTCTCCATTTATTGGGTATTATATTGGAAATAAAACTGCAAAAGAATAAAAATCATTTCACAGATTCTTAGATTTTTACGAACTTGACGATTCGTCTTGTGGTCACTGGGCTATGACATCGTACAACCCGTGTGCAGGATGCCAGCGTTAAATTGGGAAACACTACCTGCACCTCCAGGCAGTATATTCTGAAAGGTATTTCAGATAGCTTCTGCCTTGAAGAGGGAGGCAGTGTTTCTTTCCGGAACGTTGGTACCCACCCGCCAGACTACATAATCTCATAACTCAAATTTTAAATGTCCTAAAAAGTCAATTGCATGTAAGACGGCTAATAACTAAGAGGAATAAAGAAGCGATGTACAACATGACGCTACGATACAGTACTATAACCCAGAAGATTAAAATATGAAAATAAATTTATCATTTGTTTCCAGATATAAAACGAAAAAAAAATAGAACTCTTGAATTTATTCTGATAGTCACAGGATGCTTCACAATGTGCGAGAGAATTTTATTTTATGAATGATATGTTAAAAGAAAATTAAAAATAACAAAAATGCTCTTCCTTTATAAAAATTTAAGTCCATCTCTTAAAATTAGTAGGTTAAATTTAGATATTCGAATTTTTTATTCTTTCGACTCATACGTCATGACTTAGGAAACATAGTATTAACACTTGATTAACAAAACGCAGAATTTGTCTTCAAGACTTCTGACTGTACTCTGTCCAAAACGGTTTCAGTTGCTGTTTATTGTGATTTAAATTATATTACCTGAAAATCTGTATTACCTGTTCATGTTACCGGAAATACGGTGCAAAAATCACTACTATAGCAACTTTTTGTCAGAGAAGTCGAAAATTCTAATGAAGTTCCATGGTCTGAATCGTAGATCAAACCTTCTTCCCTCATATCGCATCTCCTAAACGTTATATAGGAAACAATACAAAAAAAAAAAAAGAACTCATTTCCGTCAGTCTGTCTTAGAAACAAAATAAGTAAACCAGTAAGTTTCCAGTATTAGTTACAGGATATTTAATGATATTTGTGACAGAATTTTATTTCCTGAAGATGGATAAAATAATCAACATGAACAGATATGTTTCTGCGTAATCTTCGGTTCAATGAAAAAATAAAATTAAAATTTTCACATAGGACGCATGAAAATTATATTCATAATTGAAATAATTAGCCGGAATGTAGAATAGGGAATGTAATTAAATATTCTTAGGCATGTTTCGCAAAACCAGAGTAATATTTCTATTACACATTTTTAAAAGTGCTTACAACAGCAAACAGCTTCTAAGAGACAAACACAAATAACTGCAGTGATAATGACGATAGGATGATGATTATGATGATGATGATGATGATAATAATAATAATAATTTTAAACGTCTTTGGAACCGTAATTCGAAAAAAGAGGAAGAGAATAGAAATGCTTATATTAAAATTTTTTTTTTCGTTACAAAGAACTGTGAAATGTTTTGTTACGCTATCAATACGAATATTGTGTCAGAAAACATGGTCGCATCACTCTTCATGCATAAACGGCATTCTATAAATTATGCTGGGAGAATAAGAACATAAATTCCAAGACTGGAATTCACAGTGAAACATACAGAAAACCGGCGATGAATAACAGATAACAGATCAAGTAATTATGCTATGTTCTGTCAATTTTGATATTTGATGTAATTGAATTTATTCATAAGAACATATTCCTTATCGCACTTGTTCTAGATTACAACGTACGTGCTGCTGCTACCACTTTGCAGCGTGTGCATTTCAAACGCAGCTGGGGTACCACTACCCATAAGATGGGGAAGCCAGGAATTTCATTCGTCAGGACCGGAATTAACTGAAAATTACGGTTGTACAGATGAATCCTGCTTTGCTCCAAGTATTTGGAAGAAGCAACAGCAGTAAGTACCCCGACATAGTTCCTTGCATCACTACGAGGACATAGGGCATACCTGGCACGCTTTCTTCCCTGACAAAGACACACTAAATCCGGCACTAAATTAGCGCGTGATCTCTACAGTAAAAGGTCTTGTTACATGATCACATAACGAAGTCATGTATCGTACCAATTTTATCACAAGACTTGGTAATTTACCCCACATTTCTTCTACCTCATTATCATAAGAGAATTTTGCCCATGAGCAGCTCCCAACATATTCTCATCGAATATCATATACTTCATACTGGTCAGATTTCGAGCAGCAGGCCGAATATCTTCCAAGTTTTTAATATTTGTCCTCAGTCCGTAGAGGTAAATTCAACGAACGAATCTTCTATTTCGTGCTGGAGAGATCTGAGTTCTCAACCATGACACAGGGAGTTTCCGGGTCTTACTCAGTGGCTATGTAAGCATTCTTTATAATACTATAAAATAGGCCACGACTCTATCCTTGAAAATCCATCCTAACTGATGTTCCACGGTTATATTCTCATCCGAGATCACACAAATAAGTTTATCTACGCATGCAGTAAGAATAATAAGTAATAACAAAGCATCGTTAAATAGATTAAGAAAAATTTGTTAATATTTTATTGCTGATCTTTAGCATTTATGAAAGAACTACTTCCTTTCCTGAAGAATGTTTTTCCATGACGAGACAGTGTAGTCTGGTACAAAGTTACTGACACTTTGGAGGAATTTCTTGCCTCCATGTTCATGTTAGAAGAGTTCATACGCTGAAGATTTAGGACTGAGATTCGGTCAAAACGTTGGCTACTTTCTACCCCACATCCCAGAAGATAGAAATCTTCATATTCCTTGCCGCGAGAACCTAAATTTCACAGAGGTACGTGTATTTACACTCACTTTCTGAGTGGTAGCATTGTGAAGATTACCCACACACACAAGCAATTGCTGGTACAATTCTATTGAAAGCAGGAAATCGTACGAAAAATGCAAGTAAAACCTATTAGGTTTAAAAATAAATCCCACCTAGTTAGTAATGATCATATTCAATAAAACTCCGTAAAAGAATTTGTAATGGTTAATATTGGAGGAAATTACTAGTTTTAAATATTGTGGCATATTTGCTCAGAAAAAGAACTGTGGAACCAGAGAACCAGCCGTTCGTTTCTAGGCAGTGGTTCGGTAAACGAGTTCCCTCGACAACAGATAAGCATGCAGCAATTGAGGTACTGTTGGAAAAGGTGTTTTGTACTCTACCCATGCAATGGAGTTATGAAAAAGAAAACTGGGGAAACCAATTCGGTTCTGTACAGGAGTCTGTGAAGAAAAGAGTCAATTTGAAGGGAGCCTTCATTCGTAAAGGACTTGACAGCGGAAGCTGTAGAATATCGACTGTTAGAAACCGTTACAAGGGGACGGCTGCTGAAGACAGAGCAGGCTGAGAAAGGCTTAATGGATGCTGTGATGATTTGAAAACTTGGAGATTAATTGTGGCCCTGTAACTGATTTCATTTCCGAGTCGTCTGTAAATGTGATCATTAAATTTAATCCCCAATCCAACCCCCCCCCCCAAGGCTCACTCATAGACATGACAGTATGGTTCAATAATTGTGGAATATATGAAGTGTTCATTAATTAAACATATGAACAAAATAAAATAATATATAACCCAAAATATGAAAATTATATAAAATAAATATATTGCGTTAGATATTATGAACTATTAAAAAAAAAACTTGAAGCAATACGTTGAATATTTCCACCTGCTCGTCTACAAGCCTCTGTTTACTTAAACACCAACATAAACAGTAAACGTATGCATTTATGAACGTAATTATGGTGCATAAAATCTATTGGCCAAACAATGCCTGTGTACATGCGACGAGTTTTCCTATAAAAACAAACTTAGTCAAGAATATCAAACCTTTATAACATCAAAAATTCTGTAGACATCTAAACATACGGCTGGTTAATACAGCGGTAAAGCTTTACACTAGTATTCTGATGGTTCTCAGTTCGAGTTTCGACCGAAACATTGGCTACTGCGGGGTTATTCGAGGTTTTTCTCATTCATCCAGGCAAATGCCGGGGTAGACCCTCGGACAGGTCATGGCTGCTTCCTTCCACCCATTCGTCAATCGCCCTTCCTTTCGACGGTAAGCAGTCTATACAGTGACAGCGCCTAAGGCAAACCACAAAGAATACAGCTGCATCTATAATGAGAGAGGCCTGCTAAATTTGATAGAATAAAAATATGCAGAGATGCTACCATTTGGATATAAACTAAATTCTTTATTTTGCAGGTTAAGTTTATTAATGAATAGTCTTAAACAAGAAGACTACATTAACGACGTGGAAATGATGGAGAAACGCGACCCGCCTGGAACTTACAACCCGGAACCCAGCCTACTTCAAGCTACTAGCGAACGATCAATGTTCATGGACAGGAATCCAGCCCCCTGTTACTGCTACTCCAATAGCCGAAGAAACCACGATTTTGGCCCAGGAACTTATCCAAGATACTTATCTGAGGTCAACTGCAACGCAACTTTATGTGGCAGCTCCTTATACCGCTGCCACCCGCTTAAACATACGATATTCGTTATTAAGAGAATCGATTCCATAGAAGAAACTGTAGGAGACAGGAATATTCTGCTGCATAAACCTCTGTGCTCCCAGTGGAAGACTGAGGCTATCAATATCACAGTGGCCTGTGTTTGTCTCAGGAATTACTGTCGGGGTTAAGTCGACATTAAACGGAAAACCTCTTTATAACAGTCAGTGGCCTAACTCTCGCCAAGTCGCACTTTCTAATACTTTGTTTCAAGATTAACAATATACATACATGATGATGGACCGATTGGACTGATTCGTAGTTTAATTAAAGATGGTTATTTAACAACGCTGTACTGACTGTATTGGTTTAAGGTTGATAATTTTGTTGACGGCATTAATCCTAAACGTATAAAGTTGTTCCTGTGCTTAACTAATTAAGCACTACACCATGAAGACATATGGGGAAATGGATGTATAGAGCCATATTTTCTTGACTTCATCATTAGTTAAAGGTGAGTGGTAAGCTTCAAGCCCAGGCCGCTTTACCCCCGGGGAAAATCCCCTGTACTCACCGGATAGAAGGTTGGGTGAACCCTAGATCCGGTCTGGAAAACGTGGAAAAGAGGTACTTCTTAACTCTAACGGGGCTCGAACGCCGACTCCTCGGTCGTCCAGCCCGTAACCGGACGCTATAGCGACTGCGCTATCCCGGCTCCAATTAAAAATGTATAATATATATTAAATAATTTGTTTCTAACTTTTATTTATAAAGCCCTTTGTTAGTCACAGATTTATGACTAGATACACGTAAATATTATTTTAACATGATGGAAAGGAGCGTCTTCTTCAGCTGTAAGATGAGCTCAAATAATTACGGGTCTTTTCGTATCAGACTAAGCGAATACATATGAACATCCTACAAATAGCATGCTTATTGAATACCCAGAAGCCAAGATGGATTTTACATTGTTAACTTATAGTAATGGATATGCTCTCCTGCAAGACGACTGAGAAAGCGTAGGAAAATACTCTAAAACTTAATAAAATGAGTTTCCATACATGGATATCTTTTAATCCAATGGATCCGATATTTTTGTTATTGCTAGTGGGGTCGGACTAAGTCCCTTGTACTGCGGCCACTTCTGGCCTATTGTACCAGACCCAGATGATAGGTGAGGGTGATTGTGGAGCAATTGGTGGAATGAAGATTGGCAGGGGAAAACGAAGTACTCGGAGAAAGCCTGCCCCAGCGCCACTTTGACCACCACAAATCCCACTTGACCAGACCCGGGATCGAACCCGGGCAGCCGTGGTGGGAAGCCAGCGACTAACCGCTTGAGTTATGGCGCGGCCCAATGGATTCGATATGTGTCAGACCGACTTGACGGAAAGCGTCCGGCTCTTCCTCCTGATTTCGCGATCAAGAAAACTAATTGCTCATTGTATGTAGGAATTAGGTGAGTGTCTGTTATAAAGAGGGTTTGTAAGTATTTCAGAGAGACCAAATATTATTATGAAAAGTGCCGTTTGATTCTTTACATGTGTACAATTTTCCAGTTTTAAATCAGCACTTGTACTCACGTTCGAGTACAACACAGAAGTATCAATGTAGGTCTCTTAACGCAAGAGGATAAGGCTATGTGTGGCACCGAACCAGCCAGTGTTTTTGTGTGGCTAACTATATTTATTGCAATGCAAACAACATATATGCATCTTGAGTCTACGTCAGTTCTGAGCCGATTTCCAGGAGCTATATAGAAGCAATGTCTGACTTCCAAAAAATAAAAATGTAAAGTAAAATAAAGCAACATAAATGTTTTTGCATGATTATATGATTTCAGATCTTTTCCAATGAACAGCTGTGGTCTCATGGCGTGTCCCATTCATGTCAGTATATTTAACAACTTAATCACCGATATTGCTTAAAGCTATCGTTTTATAGCATGAAAAATTTAGAAAAACATATTAATCCTTTCCGAATATTTCAGTCTAGCTTACTAAGTTCTTACGACTCATAATCTCGCTCGGACGCATAACGTAACAAAATAAATTAATATTAAAATTCTAAGGCTCGGCGGTATTGAAACAAAGGTCACCATCCTGCCTTATGCATTCCATGAAATGTGCTGTTTACCGCACGTAGATGTTAATGTTTGATACAAAAGTTATCATGCCTGCATATAATATTCCGTTGTCACTAACATATGAAGAAGCAAGTTATGATTACAGATGTTCCCATATCGTTGTTTTATATTCTTAAAAGCTTTAAAAGAAATAAAATGTTCTTAGTGAATTAAAACACTCACCTGAAATGGCTAGGTGCTCCGATCTCCGAAATTCTCAGATCACCATGCGTGTACTGTATTGTTAGTGGTATGAAATTGAAAAGTGAGATCAGGAGCCGGTGGCTTCCAAACCGAACCGAATTAATATTTGTAAAAATGTTCAAAATGTTCCCTCCCTCCCCAATAAAGTACAGGCACGTTGCCAAAAATGTTTCATTTCTCTTGGAATTGCATGGCATGTGATAAATATCTGTCTACAAATTAAACTGAATATAAAGCTCACTGTCTTCTTTTATTTCATTTCCTTCGAAACCCCGATGTATATGTACCAAACTAAAAGACATGACATCACAGAAGATCGTAATCTTACCAACTTCTCTGAAAACTTTCATAAACTGAATGTCCTGTAATAATAATTCGAAAGGAGAAATTTTATGGATTTATGGACTCCTTCCTTGTAAATGACAGGAAATTAGGCCGGTCATAATACAGGCAGATACACTTTGTCCCTTATTCTAGATGTTTCCTTGCTAATGTAATATTGTCACCTCTAATAGGACATATATCCCACAGCTAAAATATTACAACGCTAAAATATCCTTACCCCTATATCCACGTTATATACATGTATAAATGTAAAGGTAGAGGTAAAGTTCCTGTGCTTAATTAATTAAGCATTATGCTATGAAAACATATGGGAAAGTTTAGTTATAGTTCCACCATTCTTGGCCTCGGCACTGGATGAAAGTGAGTGGTAAGCTTCACGCCTCGGCTAATTAACGCCCGGGGAAATCGTCCCCGGTACATACTGGATAGGAGGCTCGGTGGGTCTCAGAGTCTTTCTGGGATACAATTCAACGTAGTCCATTGGAAGTCAACTGACGTTCAGTAGGAACATGTCGCCTCATTCTTGAGGGTCGAAGAATTAGCCAAACAAGAAACCAGCATGAAGCATGCCGTTTCCAACTGATCATTGTTAATCGTACAACCATTTTACGGTAGATGCTCCGAGCTACTGACGTCGATAAGTAAACAGTAAATAACTGTAAGTTATAATTCCGCTCTGAATGAAAGATGTGTTTGTAAACTACAGGGTGTTCAAGCAAGGAGGAAACTTCGCAACACCGTTGACCGGACCCAATATTCCTCACAGATTGCTGCTGTAACTGTATCGGCGCGCGTTTATCAGCGCTAATGACTCATTCTGCTATCAGCAGTTACAGCAGCAATCTGTGAGGAATGTTGGGCCGGGTCAGCGGTGTTGCGAAGTTTCCCCCTTAATTGAACGAACTGTATTTTACGATGCGAAGCATTCTGTTGTATCCAACGTCGAACGACTGTTGTACTGATATTGTTAACAGCATAGATTTAAAATAATATATAGGTTCACCATTAGTAATATGATCTTCATATCACACATCGTGTTCATCAGTTGATAGACTCAGATGAATTTGAAACAACACATATGGACTTACGTATTCATGCATCAATTTTCAAAGTTATAAGCCTATGATATTTTCAGAAAATGAATAATATTTTATGGCACAAAATACATCACTTCACTTAGATTTTGGGCCGGTAAGAAGTGCATATCTCGTCGGCACTCTAACGGGAGTTCTTGGAGCAGCACTGCTAGACGAAAGAGTTTTCACTAAAAATTTTACTATCTGATGATCATAAATTGAAGACAATCACATCTTATAGAAGAAAATATACAAACGTATATTTATTTCTTCCATCTTTTTTTCAAAATATGTTGCAATCATATAATTATTGACTAATATTTAATAAATATATTTATATCAACGTGAATGATCATTTCTGTTCCAAATTCATAACCAAGTCTATTTAGTATAAGTATTTCAGTAATTAATCTGAATATAACCCAGTGCAGAATTATTACACACAAGCAACGGCCAGATAGGCCGATGAACATTGTGTGGCTAACATAATCTGTAACATTGTCACGAAGGTATACCTTAATGGTAAATGTTTCGGGAATTTTTACCTCGTGGAAATACCGCTTTCAGTTATACGTGCTATCATCAGAAAATGTTTTCTTACCCGTGGTACTGTCTGATGATTCACCAGTACAGATATGAGGGGTGAGGTTGCGCCTTGCAGTTGACGGCTCCAAAACACTTTATACCGTTGAATGGGTAAGTCCGATACAGGGGGTTCCCAGCTGAGCTCTCCCCACAAGGTGCCGTTCACTCTCACCAGCGAACCGACGGATAGCTTCAGCGGTGGGCCAGGTGGCTTCGGAGCTGCCGGAAGCAAAGCAGTGAATATCCTGTACTAAGTTTATTACTACTAGTCTTAAATGCTGCTCCATTTACTCTGAAAGTCAAGTTGTCTTGTGCGTAATCAAGCACCATGTGATGAAGAGGTGTGGGAGGGGTGGAGATGCAGAGAACTCCACGCGTTTTTAACTTCATTCCTAGCCAGGCGTGTGAGCATAACGACCCGGCAGCTTGGCCCTCGGGAGAATTCGGCACCCATTAATTAGATGGCTGGATGGACCAAAAGCCAGTCTGAACATGTGGCAGATGAAAAATCTCAGGACATGTTGGGAATCGAATTTGAATCGATATGTTTGGGATCATATGAAAATCTATACTAAAGCCACAGGAATAATTTTCATGGATGATCCCGCCCTCCACGCCTCCCTCGAACTGTTACGTTCCCTGTCTTATATACGTACTTCCTTATGTTACCCTTCTAGCATTCTATCCACTCTGTTTAGACGAAATGTTGATAGTTATAACTACGTGAAAACCGTCGATAATAAGTCTTTGTCTTTATGAGGGGGCTGGAGGGGAATACCGCATTAGGCAGAGAGGGGGAAGCCTCGCTCGCAGTCATCCCCACCATCCATGTCACTTCTTTCCCCGGAGAAACTATGTTTCAGACATAACAGGTGAGAGATAAAGGTAAAGTTGACCCTGTGTTTAACTAGTTAAGCGCTATGCTATGAAGGCGTATGGTGGAGTGGATGTATAGAGCCACATTTTCTTGGCCTCGGTACAAGCTGGATGTGATTGGTCAGTTTTAGCCCCCCGGTACCCATTGAACAGGAGCTTGATGGGACTCCAGAGCCGGTCTGGAGGACATGGAGAATGAAAATTCTTGTTGCCCCCCACCGGGACTCGAACTCGGACCCGTTGGTCCTCCAGCCCGTAACCAGTCGCTATACCGGCTACGCTATCCCGACTCTTCTAACAGGTAAGAGGTAAAGTCTTAATTTGTTTTGGTGTAAAAACAAGACACCCGATATAAAACATCTTGGTAACGAGGTTGTGAACAGAGCTCAGCGTTCTCTTAGAAAAGTGGACGTGAAAAATCAAACAGTGAAATACTAATTTGGGTATATCCTCTTATTCAGAACGAATACGTTCCTGAGACAACGCCAAATGTACTCTAAAAATATATGTATACATTCCTTTAATCAAATGTTAGCATGAATTTTAAACGGAAATAATTTTAAAAAGGAGAACATTTTCAAAATGATATAGAACCTTAATTATCTGAAAAGTCCTGGATATTTAGTTATATTTATAATAGTATACTGCACTTTATAGGGTTACAACTGCACTAATATCTGCTGCTATCTAAAGAAAATATTTTCTTTATAGATTGCCTATTAAATTTCCTCAGAAACACCTAGCCTTTGCAATTTTCAACTGGCAACATAGCAATGTAGCAACCATCGTTTGCTTCCCCACTAAACGGGAGAAATGCATTTCATTAAGTCACTACATGACCAACTGTAGCAGTCGGCATTTTAGTGACTTCGGCTTCGAATGCAAAATGAACTCTAAAATACGCTCTATAAATGTATGAAACAGCTACTACTTCGAAAATAACACTCTGCATCCAAATTTCCTAGTAAATTTTGTAATCACCCTTTGAATTAATGTGCAACTGAATATGATTCTGGTGATCTCAAATGCAGAAATTTGGAGAAATCTCCCTCAGTCACTACAGCCTTCTATGTATTGTACCCACACAGGAGATATCGAAAATATTTTCTCTTGTTATTACCATCAGAAAAATGTTCATGCCTAGCACCGACTTCATTAATAATGGCACAAACAAGTAAGAAAGAAGGCACACCCAAAGCAGAAAATAAAACTAAAACTGAATCGAAATTCCGAGTGTTCACTGAAGGTAAATGAAATCAAATCGGCGCCAGGCTTGAATATTCCGTTCGACTTGTATATGGAAGAGGATTTCAAGTTTCATGTTTACTCTATTCCGAGAAAAGAAATTAATATATGAAGATAAACATTTTACGGAGGTGCCAGGACTCAGTAACAGCCGAGAGCATTCCCAGATTTGCTGTAATCCAGGCAAGTGCTATTTGCAGTGCAATAGGTTTGTCGAGTATGCTAGTAGTATGCACTGTCCGCGAGCGACTACGTGGAAGAGGGTCTGAGACATCCGTCTGAGATGCTCACCGACTGGCGGAAGCTCTGAAAAGATCTCTTCATACAGTCTCTTATTATGTGAAGTCCATATTTGTCATCAGAAGGAAAACAAATAGATATTTAGCACGTGGTCATGTCGGTATTTCACTTTCAAGAAGTTAAGGTAAAACTACCCCTGTAACAGGCCGTGGAGGCCCATAGGGTTGTGAGACTTCGAGGCTCCCACATTTTCTAGACGATCGGCTCACAGACGGTTTAAGGTTGTCAGTCTTACATGCCAACCACCCTTTAGCCCCCGGGAACATTCCTGGTACTCATTTCTATTAAAGGCTGAGTAGACCCCAGATACATGTTGCGTCTGGTAGGATTAGATCAAGTGAAAAATCCAGTAATCTCATCGGGAATCGAAACCGCAACCTTCCGGCTTGTAGCGTAGTGCCTCAACCGACTACGCTACCGCGTGCCCCTATTTCACTTTACCAAGTATAATTTTAAGTGAAATGTAATTTTTTTTTTTTTCAAAATGAGGTGCCTGTAATGAAAGACGATTGACGTATACGAAACGAAATAAATTCCAAGTGGTGTGGCCTAATAATGAGCAAGTTTATTCTTACGTTATATGTGTGTGCAGGGGGGGGCACACCGACAGAAATTCTATGTGGGTTATTTAACGACGATCTCATCATCGACTACACAGTGCCGGCCGACAGACTTTACACCACTTTTCATGCACAAATTACATCTACGATGCTGAAACTGAAATAGTTAAGCATACCAACTGAGAGCGTGAATGGAGCGGACGGTTCAGAAAATCCTCGCGTGCCGTTTGCGCTGATCGCTGCCACGCGGAACTGGTACCAGTGTCCTGGACGGAGAGAGTTCTTCAAGGTGACGTTGGTTCGCGACGACCGGTGTCTGGGTACCCAGTTGCTGAGGCGAGCAGTCGTGAAGTGGCGTCCCACATGATGCCTCTCTTCCAGCAGGAACAGAACCGGACTGCCATATCCCGCCGGTTCTTGGGGCTCTGCGGACCACTCCACTACCACAGTACGGCCTCTCCGTCGCTCCGTTACAGAGAGGTTGGTCGGGATTGGTGGGAGACCTGCATATCCAAAGATGAGATTGACTGGTCAGAGATAATATGACATTAATTTCTACGGTGCACTATGTCACTGCTTCAAATCCGGAAATTATATGGCGTCGAATGGGATAAGAAGATGACCGCGAATTATGAGGGGAGGATATGGAAGAAAGTATCTTAGTACTCTCGTGGAAAGAATGAAAATGAAATGAAAATGAAAATTCTTAGAATACTCTATTTAGTCTTCCACCATCCTAAGCTATGTACCGGCTCGCGTGGCTTCACTATTAGTTTCGAATGCCGTCTCGGAAAAGCTAATTTCGATTACTGGTCAGGACAATACTGTTACCTCCATGGAAGAAAGTTCTTGTTGAGAAACTAAGAGTCGCTGAACCAACCAGGAAAATCTCTATCATTTTAAGTACTCCAAATATTCTTTACGCTTTCACAAGAGGTCGCCACTGATTCTTTGCTTGACCCAGGTAAATTCAGCTCATATTTTCAATCGCTTTTAATATTTTCCTCTCATCTACACTTAAGCCTTCCATTCCTTTCAGCTTTTCAGACTAAAATCTCTCCCATGCGAGACAGATTCCCACTAGTTTCATCACACTAACAGTATCAGGTAAAAGTACAAATTATGAAGCTTATCACCATGCAGTCTCTGTTCCTTCCTCCCTCTTACATTCAAATATATTCGTCAGCAACTTTTTATCAACGCATTATTAATGTGACCTAGTAGTTATTTTACAATGAGAAATTCTTAGACTCCAGCCCTGACAGTACCTATCAGTGTACGCGATTGATTATCCGATATATTCCGACCAAACTACCCTGCATATTTGAATGTTATCTATTTCCCGGATCCATAGAGCAAGATATATCTTCGTGGCAACGGACCCTCTTACCCAAGTCGCATTAAAATCTCTACAGAGATAAATAAATTTTCCAACAGATCTTCTGGGGCTGTATACATAAATGCATTAACATTTATGCTTTGAAGCAAGCCCGGAGCCTTGCCGCTGATCTCAACATAAATAATAATAAACTCCTCAGATATAAAGAAGGCTAGCGAGGACAGGAGTACAGGCAACTTCCCGAACGTCGTATATATCGAATATACGTCAGACAATGTGCAATGCCCAACATAATATTAATATTGTAATGTGTTAGAGTGACTCGACAGTGGTTTGGATTGACGATTGGATTTATTGACCACTTACAGGTCGTAACTATACATATAACTATAGCACTGTCGCTAATTTCCACAATTTACAAATCACTACAGCACACTATACGTTTTTCAGTCTGCTTTCACTAGTCGTTTCCCGGTAATGGACCTTAAATATGGAGATTCGTCAACTGGACCGACAAAGTTTTCTCTTCACAGACTCCAGTAAAAGTGACTCCTTCCTTACAACTGACACGGCACGGACCGCATATAAAACACAGTCTGTCGTTGTACTCCAAGCTTCTCCGTGGAGACGTGTTTGTTTTCAAAGGCGTTACCCAGTAGTGGCTATGGTACATTTGCTTATATCGGGATCGTTGCCTACTAACGGATATTATTTCGTTTTTCGTTTTGAGGTCGTTCCCCAGTAACAGCTCTACACGCTACGTTATATTAAATAAGCCTTTACAAAATCAGTAAATATATACGATGACATGAAAGAAGTGATTTAAGCTGTATTCCGAGAGCTCATATTTTTCGCTTCTATGGAGAATTGAATGTGATTAAATACGATACAATTATCACTTATTATAACGTACGTAGATGGTTTTTTGTAAACAGTGTGTCTCAGTTACAATCCGAGTGCAAATCTTAGTATTAAAATTCAGGTTTTAATCAATGAGCCGTTATCATCCGGACTGCACAGTGAATTACGTGAAATTGGATGACGTCTTGCTTGTGTACTTACTTCGTTACAGTAATACACAGACCCAAATATCTCTGTTAATTCGAGATAATATTACTATTTCTGCCAGCTATTCCACTGTACCGTTCTTCCTTCTTTAGTCCTGATATTCGCGTTAGTCAATCTGACATTTAATTTTAGTGCTATGAAGTTGTTTAAGAATTCATATCAATGTCACTAGGCTAAAGTTCGAGTTTCCGTCGAAGCAGGAAATGAGAAATTTTCTTCGAAAAAGAAAAACATGACGTTTTTAACTCATGCTTCCCCATACATTCAATAGACACACAATGGCAGTCTGCGTACACAAGAACTAAGAGAATGCAAGTCAAACAGAAGTAGCTTCTCTTGTGATTTGAGGTAGCCAATAAAATTTCAAAGTTGGATTTATTAATATTCTTGAGTTTGTATATTTTAGTTCTCTTCTCCTTGAAATAAGTTTAAAAACATATTTTCTTTATATACTGAAGTTTATACAACCTACGTTTGTTCAACCACATACAAACTTCAAATGATACTACCTAACACCTGTCATTCTGTAAGTGCAAGATTGATGTACCGTGTTCCTATATTTCAATACAATGAGTCTAAACCAAATTTCTTGTTCAGTTGGGGCAATCATGAGGAATGGAATAATTTTGTTGTTGCTGCTTAGTGCAAGATGTAGAGTTTCTGTAGAAGCGGGTGTGATTCCAAACTTAAAAACAAAATTACAAATCATTACCGACGGCATTATTCGTGATGAAACGAGATGGAACCTGATGGATGTGCTACTATGTCAGCAGCAGAAGGAAAGTCAGCTGACTACAGTTATGGCCGGAGAGCTTCCAGTTTCATCAACATTAATTAGTTTAAACATTCTTCGGGACATTAGCAGCAGACATCCAGTGGTCTTGTCACGTCACAGATATCCGCCATCGGTCTTTACAGGAAAATGTGACATGGACGAGTCCTGCAGACCGATAGGAAAGGCCACAATTTTCATCCTGTTTGTTTCTATAAATGGGACCAGCGCATTTTCTGAAACTCTCAGAAATCTGAAGCACTTCATTTATTGGAATTCCAGGGCTCAATTCATTTTACTATTATTTGAAACATGCCACAATCTGGGGAAGGATATAAGTTCGGTTTTTCATATTTGCTGGCAAAATCGGATACTCAACGTGTTGGTGTTTTGCGTACAAGAGAGAATTGGATCAACAACAGGGGACGATATACGTGTATATTCGTACAACCCTTTCAACCAGCACACAAACGCTACTTTCCTTGTTCGGCTAAGTTTCAAGTCAATTAAGAGTAAGATGTGCAAATATAGCCGGAAATTTCTGTATTTAGACAAACTGCGGGGTTTAAATGGATATCTTTTGAAAGTGTCAATGTTCGATCATCAACCAAAATCAATTTTAAATGTAACAGAAGATGGCAAAGTCTACAACATCGGAGGAGAAGACGGAATTTTTCTTTTCGTTTTAGCTAAACACATGAACGTCTCTCCTATAGTATCGACACCAAGAGATATGGTGGACATGAGTTTCCGTCGTCCCGATGGGAGAGTCACTGGTTCTACTGGAGACATTGTTTATAACAGAGCCGATGTATCATTTAATTCACGTTTTCTGCGGTATGATTATATGAACGATATTGATTTCACATATCCACATGACAAAGAAGGTTTCTGCATTATTGTTCCTAAAGCTAGGCAGGTACCGGAATATTTGCGTCTGTTTTTGCCATTCAGTTCTGTCCTCTGGATTGCGTATGGCGCCACTGTCATGGTTACAGCAACTTTCTGGTATTGCACTGAATTTAAACTTACAGGGTCAGCAAGCTATACCAACGCCCTCATAAACACATGTGCTGTGTTCCTTAAGGTTCCTCTCAGATCTCTCATTTTCCAGAAATATGGAAGGATATTTTTCTTCACATGGATGTATTCGTCAATGGTACTGACTTCAGTATATAGAGGTTTTCTGATTACTTTTCTCGTTACTCCCCAGTTCTATAAAGACATCAACACTCTTCAAGATTTTGACGAATCAGGGTTGAGGCTAGTGATGTTCCCAGGCATAAAAGATAGTGCTCTTCTTGACACGCTCAACCCTCTACGTGTTCGTTTGAACAAGAAGACCGTCATAACAACACAGAACTTTTCCACATGCCTAAACAACTTGATGCGTTACAAAGACAGGGGATGTGCTTTCAATAAGTTGTCGGCCGAGTGGGCTGTAAGGCAGAAAGAGCACTTTAATAATGGAGTGCCTCAGTTGCATGTTATGGGAGAGTGTCTATCATGGTACGTTGAAGCTTATGAAGTTAGTCGTGAAAGCCCGTTCCTGCCTTATTTTAACATATTAATTAGTAGGGCTATTGAATCAGGATTGTTCAAAAAATGGAGAGACGATGTTCATTATAACGCCGCTCAAAAGCAAAGCTGGAAATTTCCTGCTTCTAACCAGAAAGTAATCTTGCAATTGTCACACTTTCAAGCGGCTTTCTCTAGTTTAGCTATAGGACTCTTCGCCAGCATACTTACCTTCCTATGGGAAATTAGAATATCTGCTTTTTCTCGCCGCCATTTTGAATATCGGAATCAGAGAGTGTGAGAATTCAAATTAAGATATAGCAACGTGTTTCAAAGGAAATCATTCTTTTCAATCACCTGTTAATCTAGTTCTTTTCCATACTTGGTGTAAAACAATTTTTGGCATTAAAATTTAGATCAGATATATATTTTTAATTGCCATAATTTGCATTTTAATTAACATCTTTCGCGTTTGTGCCAAATTTATTCTAAATACCTGTATTATTTAGGCATTTGACATATATTTATTACTTAGGCTTATTGTAGACCAAGAAGTCCTTGAAATTTAAATAACTATAATCCTGCATGCACTTGACGAACGTAACAATTTCAAATTCTAATATCTTGCACTTTGCAGTGTTGCATTACTCCATGTTTCTGTCTCTCACATATTTTGTTCTACTCGTAAGAAATGTGCTCTTAAAACTTTTAAAATAGTCCAACTACATATACCACCTATTTTAATATTAGAAACTTTTCGTTTTCCCAAAAACGAGGCTACAGAAGTAGAAATAATTAGGAATTTTCAGCTTTTTTTTCCATTAGCAGGAAATCCTACTACAGGTAGAATATTTAACTATGTGGCGAAATTTAATTAGAAATGTGAACGAACTATGTAGTTTGTGACACAAAACACTTTAATTATGCGTGGCTTATGGTTTTTGAACTAAGCCGCTTCGAATGTCGAGGGTTCCAAATATTTCGTCAAACCGTGAAATTTCCACCTTTAAGGTTAATAACTTCGGAGTGGGTATATCAACTCTTACGTATGTAAGATTTGAGGCTTTAACGGCGATGACTATGAAGATTGCCTTCTTCTAAGTTGCCACTACGTGTAGGTCTTGAGTGAACCGACGTTTCGGAAGAACGTATCGCCTCCATCTTCAGGGTAGAAAAATCCGCAAGCAAGGAACCAGCGTGAGCAGGTGGCTGCAGTCTGCTTCTGTGACGTGTTACTCATGCAATTCATCACAAGCAACTACTCAGCTTTCTTGTTACAGAATGCAATTACAGTATTTCATTGAAGAGTACAGTGTAAGCCTGTATGTAGAACGTAATTTTATCGTTTCTGTTGTGTTACTATGCTTGAATATGGAAAATATATGACGAAGTTGTAGTTGGTAAATATGAATACGTTGTTTATTTAATAAATACAAGGTGGTTCAAATATGACCGGGAATGATTTTTTTAAACCATAATTGCCAAACACTTACTTGCACGTGTCAGTCTTCAACGTACTCCCCTCCGGAGTCAACACATTTTTTCCAACGTTCTGGAAGCATCCTAATGCACTTTTCAAAAAAGGCTTGTGGTTGGCGGCGTATCCACTCCTGACCACAAATCAGTCCCGGTTATATTTGAACCCCAGGTATCAGTGCAATGCCCATTTATTTTCGTCACATTTTAAAATACGTAATTTCCTTCAGTAATTTTTCTGACACGACTCTCAATAAAAGAATTACAAAACAATGTTTGACGATACCAGTAACAACAATCAACAGAGCTGCAATTGTTGCTACAGATTGGGTTAAGGAATACGTACATTAGCCATACTGAAGGATACAAGAGTATATGTTGTTATAGTAAGATACATTGTATTCCAGCATCCTGTTGCTCCGATTACATTGGTCGCGCGGTCTAAGGCATGAAATGTTTTCTCCCCATCAATCACTGGGGTCATGGGTTCGAATCCCACTCAAGGCATGAATGTTTACATTTATTCTCTGTCGTCCTGTGTAGGTAGCGACCTTGCGATGGGTTGATCCCCGCCCAAGGAATCTTACCGACTGTCTATATAATTCAAAACTTTAAAACACAGGGCAAGGTCCTCAAGGGCTGTAGCACCCACAGAGTAGCAGTAGTAGAAGCCTATTACACTGGCCATCCATTTAATTCGTAAGGGCACTATTGAAAGTGCAACGTCTTAGACTTTTGGTGTTAGTTCAACGAAATATTTCGACCTTATAACTTCATCATTAGATAGATAATTTTACGTAATTGTTGTACTGTATTTTTTCCCCAGTTCACTTAAAAAAATGATTTAAACTATTTACGGTTATAGTCGAATTTTGTTCAGTTGAGAAAGGGAGTAGTTAGTTCCATTAATGTTAACAAAATTTCTTAAATTGTCCCTTCGACTGGAATTCAGCCTTTGATATCCATTTCTCTATATACATGCGTGCTACATATTCCACTCATCTCATCCTTCTTGATTTAGTTTTCACAGAAAATTAAATTAAGAGCATACTACAAGCAGTATCATTACTCAAATCAATGTTATTCTACTTAAAAAAGAAAAATTATTAGGGATGTGACGCCTTGTACTGTGTTAGTAGAGCATTACCACCTTTTCGGAGAAACCTGTTGCCTTCGGCGACAGACTCAAACTACACTGAAGATGGAGGCAGCGTTTTAGTACCTATTTATCAGACTACACAGCATCACTTCCAAGAAACCCGTGATTTTAATATTCATCGCCGTTGTAACGTCAGATCTCAATAATAAACGCAGTCAGACTTACCTGGGACGGTGTCAAGACCTTGGGCACGCTGACAGGTGATTCCGCAACTATGAGAACAGCATTTGTCAGTGCTAGAGCATTCTGGATCGCTGTGGCAAGCTTCAATGCATGCTGCGTCGAACAGGGACAGTGCCGAGCCGTTTGGACAGAAGCCGGGCTTGACATAGTCTGCCGACAGACAAGTGTCTATACACTGGAACAGAGAACGCCAAGTTTAACGTTTCGCTTGCCACCTGCACACCGCAGGCAAGCACACATATACATCACATGCAACAGATGGCAGAGAACCGATGTCACTGAGGCAATCTGCGATATTCCATGGTAACATATTACACCACTCACTCCGAAGGAGTGGTAGTACTCAAGTAGGTTTATTGTCTGGTTATTCAGTAATTTCATGTGTCTGTGTTAGCTCCTGAGGTTAGAGAACTATGTACCGAAAGGCGTAGGAGAAAGTCTCCGCAGACTATTCTAAAACATCATGTCAGCATCTTCCTAAAAGTCTGAAGGAATGACGAAAAACTTAGACAAGAACCGGAGACCTCCAGTGTGTAAATCACACACTCTCATTGTCCGACCACATTCTTTGGTGCGTAATAACAATGAGAATGTTCTTCAACATCTGGAGTACTAGAAATATCCCATTGGTCCGTGTTTAGAAGTCCCGAGTTCGATTAATATATCTGCACTAACAATGAAGGTAAAAATTAGTAATAAAAACTCTTATTATGATCATGTTTCTGGATCATAGCACCACGTACATGTCCGCTGTATTGCCGAAGTTTCTGAGACGTTTCGAAATGTAGGCAACACAACCAGCATCTCCACAATGTAATCACTCAGGAACAGGGCCAATATTACTAGCGAAGGGAAATGAGAGCCACATATCAACAACCAGTCTCTCGGTATAATGGCAGTCACAGGACATGACAGCAGAACCAGCCCATGAACCAGTAGATATAGTTTTTCGTTGTCTACATCTAGTGAAATGTAAAAAAGGTAAAGCTATCCCTGTAACAGGTCATGGAGGCCCATAGTGTTGTGAGACAATCGGCTCACAAATGGCCGTAAGGTTGTCAGCCTTAAGCGCCGGCCACACTTTACACCGCAGAAAGATTCCTGATACTTTTTTCTGTTAGAGGCTGAGTCGATCCCAGAACCATAGTGCGGCTGGAAGGATTAGGTCAGTTGAAAGAATCCACCTCATCAGGACTCGAACCCACGACCTTCCGGCTTGTATCATAGTGCCTCAACCAACTACGCTACCTCGTGCCCCTTAAATTGTCCCTGTGCTTAACTAATTAAACACTATACCATGTAGGCTTATGGGGGAGTGGATGTATAGATCCACATTTTCCTGACCTCGGCATTAGTTGGAGGTGAGTGGTGAGCTTCACGTCCCAGCCGCTTTACTTCGAGGAAAGAGCCTCAGATACCCATTGGATATGAGCTTGGGTGGATCCCAGAGCCGCTCTGGACGACATGGAGAAGTGAAAATTCTTAACCCCATTCGGACTCGAATTCCGACCCCTCGGTCGTCCAGCCTGTAGCCAGTCGCTACACCGCCTGAGCTATCCCGGCTCATCTAGTGAAAGCCTAACGAAATGTGCTGATATGAAAATATATACTGAGGGCCCTACTTAAAAATTTACGGCTATTCTAATTTCAGCATCAATGGTCACATCTTTACTACATAATGAGTTACAGGTTTGTATATAAGAATAAAACAAACAGAAGAGCTGTTAATAGCTTCTGTATTGTTCCTTTTTTACAAGATGCACTTATAATGGTCTCCATGTTCATGAACACATAACTCAGCTCTGCGTGGAAAAGAAATTCATAAACGTTCGAAGATTTCAGGCGTCATAAGTATGCTTCATTTCACGTGCAAATTGTTGAATTCGACCCTGCAGCGCTTCTCCAGTGCCAACTGTGCTGACAGAGACTCTGGTTTTCAAATTTCTCACAGAAGTGAATAGAGAACATTCAAGACAGGTGAGCGTACAGGCCTACTCCATATAATTTAGTAAGAAGATGGGTTTCAGATGGATTCTACGTCACTACGCGACAGAAACAAGATATACTCGACATGTCCGTCTTTCAGAATATGACAGCAAGAGCTCACATTTTCTAACAATAACTTTATGAGGAAGACTCTCAGGGTGCATATTAATATGAGCGCTTTCATTTATTTCTATGCACAGAAACAAACGTGTAATATATGGCATATTATAATGAGACAGCCGTGTAAATTATGTGTTATGCGTAAATATAGTTTAACCAGAATATATTTAATATTTTCTGAAGATAAACCATCCCCATTATGAGTTAATTTTAAGCGTTTACTGATGCACTTTCATTTCAAAGGTGAGAAGGTAACATTTCTGGAAGGAATAAGGATTTCGTGTGACTGAAATGTTGCTGTATCGACCCAAGACGATTGCTAGGCAACGACGAGCTTCTGAAGATCCTTTTGGGAGGGAGAGGGACTTCGTCAGTGACTTGTGGTCGAGAGGAGATCTGTTCCGGCTATCACACAGAAGCTACCGAATGCTGAGGCGTGTGTTAAAGCAGCAAAAAGCGGAGTATAGGCCCATAATTTTAATGGATGTTAAGCATTTCATTCGGCATAAAGAGCTTTCATAACTCCGGGAACCGTAATGAGTACAGTAAAGTCTTATAATGTTAGGCGTCGGAACACTTGGAAGTGGAAGAAGAAGAAGAAGAAGAATGGAAATGCACTTCCTTCTGATTACTAACATTTCATTTGCCAATTATGCAAGCTTAGCCACCTCTGTGGTCTAGTGGTCAGAGTTACTGGCTACAGATTCTGAGGTCCGGGTTCGATTCCCGGCGCTACCAAATATTCTGAGAAGTAGTGGCTCCGGAATGGGGTCCACTCAGCCTTGTGAGGACAATTGAGGAGCTATTTCAAGGAAATAGCGGCTCCGGTCTAGAAAACCGAGATTAATGGCCGTGGGTATCCGTGACACCTTCTATCCGCAAACGTTCACACTAATTTCGTCGACAAGTGGCGGTCGCTCGGTCGGTATATTTCGCTTGCGGACTACAGGCCACGGAGTTTGTTTTTGTTTGTTTTTTGTTATTATGCTAGCTTATAACTTGCGTCATTTGTAATTTAATACACATTTATTCGTAAAATGGCCTCTCAACTAAATCACGTATATACACGTACATACTCTACACAAGTGATTTAAGACTAGGAACTAATTAATCGTTCCAGCCTAAACAGAGAGCAAGAATTTGCTCCAGAAGGTTGATAATTTATAGAATATCGACATGGAATAATCCCAGGAAGATTCTGCAATGAAGTCAAATGTTTTGTGCTATAGTTTGGAATGAAATCACCCAGAAGTATTCAATTTAAAGGAGAACAGAAGGTCACGAAGTCTCTCCAGCAGTTTTTCTTATCTGGAGGCCCATTCTTTTTTTATTATTGACGAGAAGTTAGTCCGAAACGGGGTGACAACATCCTTTCATCAAAAACTGAGGAATTCTGTTCAAATTCTTGTAGAGATGTAGCAAGTGGACTATGATCAAGACAATAAGCAAGCAGAGAAAGGAAAATAATCGTGTTCAAATACCAAATCAACTTGCTATACCAAAACGTCAGATTTTAATACCCGAAATTCATAGCAGTTTACGATGATATCCTGATACACTTTTCTGGGCCTGTTCTAGAAAACAGCCAGAAACATGGACGGTGGGTCTACATGCACAGAGGGAGTCTGGGCCTTTACAGGGAAAATTAATTATTTCTTTCATCGGGTGATTGTCAAATTAGTATACCATTAAAAGGTAAATAATTCTCCAAATTCACTGTGCTCCCCCGAGACACATTTGTATAATATTATATTAGTATATTAGGTTATATAACCCAATATACTAATATATATATATATGTGTGTGTGTGTGTGTCACGTGTTCCTGCTGCGCCATCCACGTCACAATATATATTGTCACGTGTTCCTGTTGCGCCATCCACGTCACAATATATATTGTCATTTGTGCGGGTGACTTTTAAGATGAGATTTGGTTTGATAACTGGATTTATTGGTCACTCCTTGTACAATCTCTCTTTTTTCTTTTCTTTTTTTTTTCCTTGGCACTACAGCCCCATTGGGTCTAGGCCTACCTCAATGAACTCCGTTCACTTCGGTTTTTCTAGATCTTACACATTCGGTAGGACTCCTTGGGCGGGTGATCAGCTCGTCGCAAGGCCTCTACCTGCACACAAACACAGAAAAACGCATACACACAAACTAAACATCGATGCCCTGAGTGGGATTCGAACTCACGATCCCGGTTTCCAAGCGAGGAAGATAGTACATGCCTTAGACCTCTCGGCTACCGTGACCGGCTACAGTTACTGGTAATCACAATAAATTACAATAAATCACAATAAATCTTCAGCCGAACACTTCGTCATTGACTGCCTGGGGCTCACTCAATTCGGATCTACGACGACTGTCTTGCCGTCATTGGTTTCTGGTTATATAGCCTCGGGTCGTTCTCACGGAAAACACGTCCATTGCCTAGCAATGGACGTCTATTATTGTCGCATATTGTTCTAGTCTCTACCTCGCAACGGGCTGTTTACCCAGAATCTGTCTCTGCAGGAAGGTGATGTCTAGCAATGGGTCTGTATGTCACAATATATTATTTCCATTTGTTTGTTCATAGGTTTAACATTCCTTTCCCAGAGATACGCTCTTCCAATTCACTTTCAGAAGGGAATAAATGACATGGAAGCCCCATCCATCCCGCCACATTCTTCTTCACGTAATAAATGCACGGCAGGTACGGCTAATCGAGGCCACATGCAATTATTTATAGGTTCAGCCTTTCTCCGATAGTAGCACTTCTTGTTCGTCTCTGGGCCCTCGGGAAATACGACCCAAGATGTGCGGTTTCGCAGGCGAGCTTGGAGCAAGTTTCTTTTTTCCCCATGATTCAATAGACAGATGGTCTGTATTAGGCATGGCAATTCAACTCCGCGTCTGTGTCTGGCGTGGGAATTCGATTCCGCGCCCCGTGACCGATATAGGAATTCAACTCCATGATCTATGTCCGGCGTGGGGACTCAGCTATGCGATCTGTGTCCGGTATGGTAATTCAACTGCGTGATCTGTGTCCGGCGTGGGGATTCAGCTACGCGATCTGTGTCCGGTA